ATGTTGAATTTTAGTTTCCTACCGAGGCTAGTTTCAGAATTTAAATTATCTCTATGTCTCTTCTCTTGTTAATTACATTTTTCATGTTACACTTGTCGCCCTACATATTCAGTACATATTTCTTACTGACACATTTTTATGCGATGTGTTCATGCCTACAGATTCGAATAGACAGAGTGGTGTGCCTCCTCAGTAGGACCCCCAGGATCAGCGTTGGGTTTCGCACTCCACTTCTTCGGAGTTGCTGACTTTGAGTCCATAGGTACTATTACAGATGTATATGTGTGGTTTTGGGCATGTCGGGGGCTTTGTCCCGCCCTGTTGAGATTGTCTTACACTCTTAGAGGCTTGCAGACTAGCGGTCATTGTATATATATATTTTTCGTATCGCCCTATCGGCCTTCTGGATAGCTGTTATACTGTTGTTACAGCCTTGTTGTCCTAGTTTATATATATATATATATATGTCGTGTTGGGCTCTTCTACCTGCAGGTTATTATATTTCGGATCATATCTCATGGTTGGTTCGCTCGGGCCTTCGGGCATCGGGTGCCAGCCACACCTCACAAGGTTGGGGTGTGACACTGCATAATTCCAGGAAATTGCAGGTCTCTGAAACAGGGCCTCGTGGTCCGCGGTAGAATTTTGCGGCCATGCTGGGGATTCCACTTCCGCAGTGGGATTTTGCGATCAACGGTAGGCAATGCCAGAGCTTCCGCGGCCGCGCCCATTATTTCGCTATCAGCGGTGAGGGCTATATAAGCGGGACTTTTTATCCATTTTTTATCAAAACTCTAAAGTATAAGAGGCGATTTTTCAAATACTCTTTCATCCCTAAATCATATGTAAGTAATTTTAAACTCATTTCTTTCACTCCTTAACTTCTTTTTACAAGATTTCATCCTAAAATCTAAGGTTTTCATAGTGGAATTGGGAATTTTGGGTAGAAGTTAGGAATATTGAAATTTTGGGATTTAGACCTCAAATTGAGGTCTGATTCCAAAACAAATTGTATATCCAAGCTCGGGGGTGAATGTGTAATTGGGTTTTGGTCCAAATTTCGGGTATGGACCAAGCGAGCCCGGAGTCGATTTTCGACATTTTGGGAAAAATATTGGAAAATCTATATCTATGCATTGGAGTTGAATTATTTAGCATTTATTGATGTTATTAAACTTATTATGGCTAGATACGAGTGAATTGGCGATGGAATCAAGAGCTAAAGCGGTGATTGAGTGTTAAATTACTCGTTGGCTTGAGGTAAGTGTTTGGTCACCTTGACTTTGAGGGAATAGGAATCCCCAACTTATGTGCTATGTGAAATTCCAAGTGTGTGGCGTATAGGTGTGACGAGTACCTGTGCGCCACCAAATTACCATTTGTAGCTTCTTCCCTTCCTTGTTTCCTATTAAAACTATTTTATGTCTTAATTGTTACTTGTTTATAATTGTTTCCATGTCCTAACTGCTACTGGTTCATAATTGTTTCCATGACTTAATTGTTACTTGTCAATAATTGTTTCCATGTCTAATCGTTTCATGTTAATCGTTGCTCTCTTTATTGAAGTATTCAATTATTTCTTGGTTTTGTTTTATTACTTTGTTGGCCTTTATTAGTTTATTGGTGCTTTGTGGTACACCTTGGTTAGTCTCGCTGGGTAGTTTACACTAATAAAGTTTCATAATCGTAGTGATATTCTGTTGTGTGAATTGAGGAATAAGTACATTGGAGGATTTGAATTAATCTGTGAAACAATGTGTGTGTGTGTGTGTATATATATATATATATATATATATCGGGTTGCACGCAGCAATAAGGAGTAATAAGGGTGGATAGGTGGGATCGGGTTGTGCGCCGCAACCGGAGGAATAAGGGTGATATGTGTTGAGGAGTAATAGGGATGAACAGGTGGGATCGGGTTGCACTCCGCAAGAAGGAGGATTAAGGGTGGATATTGATACTGTTGTTGTCTATATGATGGGATCGGGATGCGCGCCGCATCAGTTGTTGTTGCGTGTCCATATCCATTGAGGTTCATTATTGTGGTGTTGAAACACCATTAAGGACTGGTTATAGCTAAACACTAGTGGAACAGTCGAGTTTCGAAATTACCTAATGCTAGTTATTGCTTTATTTCACTTCGTATTTCTTTTTTGTTTAGTATAAAATGTTATAGGTTGTATATGTTGTATGCCCCGTCGTAGCCTCATAACTATTTCATTGAGGTTAGGCTCGGCACTTACCAGTACATGAGGTCGGTTGTACTGATACTGCACTCTGCACTTTCTGTGCAGATTTTGGAGCTAGTGGTTGATCATGAGGTTGGTTGCTATCACTGCGCACTGGAGACCCAAGGTAGTCCTGCAGGCGTCCGCAGGCCCTGGCGTCCCCTTTCTATCTCATTTAATTTTCTGTTTTATCTACTACCGAGACAGATGTAAACTTTTCATTCAGCCCTTGTTTGTAGTAATCTTAGATAGTTTGTGAGTTGTGACACCAGTTCTGGGTGAATGTTACTATGGTTTTCGTTATTATGTAAAGTTAAGCTTTTAAAATATTTTACTCCGCAATTATTTTCACTGGTTTATATTGATTAAGTTTTAAATGTTTGAAAGATAAAAGAAAAAGGTAGAATATTCTGAAACGGTGGCTTGCCTAGCGGGTACAATGTTAGGCGCTATCACAGTTTGACGATAGAAAATTCGGGTCGTGACATGATGTTAGGCAATGAGGATAATCATGCGCAGAATGGACCAGTACCAAATAGGGGTGAGGAAGTTCTGAGAAATCGTGCAGAGGATCGAGTGGCTAGAGCTGTCGAGCATCAACCTCCCTTTAGAAATTACCAGGTGGATGTGGCCATCTCTAAGTTCGATGGAACTAGATTGAAGGTTTGGCTCTATAAGTGTGAGCAGTTCTTCGATGTGGACGAGACTCCTGAAGATTCAAAAGTGAAATTGGCTTCTTGTAAACTTAAAGGTCAAGCTTTGCATTGGCATCAAGGATTCATGAAGTCGAGGGTTACAAGGGAGTGGCCTCGCTGGGGGGAGTATGTAGGGTGTCTCTATTTCAGATTGGAGCAGAATTGTTTGACGATCCGATAGGGGATTTCAAGGACCTAAGACAGGTAACAACTGTTAAAGAATACATTGACCTATTTGATGGATTTCTTAATAGAGTAGAATTGCAAGATGAATAAGTTAGTTGCTTTATAAGGGGGTTGAAACCTGAAATTGGACTCCAAGTTAAAATGTTAAATCATAGATCCTTAGCCAAAGCCATAAGCCTAGCAAGAATGCAGGAACAAACTTTAGAAGTCCAAAACAAATTTTCCTCTCAACACCTATTTTGTCAAATCCCAGAAATAATGCTAGAAACTTCCCTATGAAATCACTTTCTTCTCACTTTGGACCAAACCAGTCTCTCACACAAACCACTGCCCAAAATTTTCTAAAACATCAACACCGTTACCCTGTTAATTCTATACCACCCTACAAAAATGCCAAACTTTTAACTCATGCTTAAATGGAGGAAAGGAGGGTAAAGGATTATGTTTTAACTGTGATGAGAAGCACACTCAAGGCCACATCTGCAATAACAGAAGGTAATTCTTTTCCATGGAAGTGGATGATTGTATTAAACCAGTAGAGTTGGAGAAAGAAGTGATGTTGGACCCTGCAGAATTATTAACCATGATAGCACATGGTTTAGAAACTGACCCGGAAGAGTCCATACTACCCCATGTATCTGTACATGCTATGATTGGTATTCATGACTTTGGAACGATGAGAGTGACAGTCTCTATTAAAGGAAAAGCAGTACATGTACTTATTGATACTGGTAGCACCCACAACTTCTTGGATCTCAACACTGGTAAGAGATTGGGATGTGCTTTGACTGCCATCTCACCATTTGTAGTTTCAGTAGCTGATGGCAATAAGGTACACAGTCACTATGTGTGCAAGAAATTGATATGAAAAATGCAGGGAGTTTCCTTTGATTTAGATATGTTAGTGCTGCCCATTGGAGGGTGTAACATGGTGCTAGGAATTCAGTGGTTAATCACTCTTGGAGATATCATGTGGAACTTCAGGAAGCTCAAGATGGAATTCACTATCATGGTCCAAAAGATACCCTTGAGGGGTATCCAACCTCCTGCTGCTAAACTAATCCAATCTGGAAAGATGGATAAGTTGTTAGCTAAACCTGTAGAACTATGCATGATATCATTAGGCATTCTAACAGAAGAAACAATAGAAGGAGATGTCAACTTGTTCCCTTTGGAATCCTAACTGAAGACTCAAAGTGAACCTGTAGAATTGCAGCTAGTACTACAGAAATATAGCGATATATTTGAAGAGCCCAGCAAACTTCCTCCTTCTAGAATGCATGATCATAGAATTATTCCGAAGGAAGATACCTCTCCAGTCACCAAGAGGTTTTATAGGTATCCAACCATTCAGAAGAATGAAATAGAGAAGACGGTGGATGAGATGTTAGCCTCTGTGTAATCAGACATAGCACCAGTCCTTATTCTTCACCAATTGTAATGGTAAAAATGAAAGATGGCACTTGGAGGATGTGTGTGGATTACGGGGAATTGAATGATTGCACAGTGATGGACAAGTTCCCGATCCCTGTCGTTGAAGAACTATTAGATGAACTACATGGAGCTAAATATTTCTCTAAGCTAGACCGTAGATCTGGATACCACCAGAGGATGTATGAGCCTGACATTCCAAAAACTTCTTTTAGAACTCACCATGCCCATTATGAGTTCATGGTCATGTCCTTTGGCATAACCAATACACCTTCAACATTCCAAATCCTAATGAATCAGATATTTCATAACTTCCTTAGAAAATCAGTCTTGATTTTCTTTGATGATATTATTATATACAGTGCTAGCTGGGCTGATCATCTAATTTATCTTGAGGAAGGTTTTCAAGTATTGGGATCCCGTGTGCTCTATGTCAAGAAGAGCAAGTGTGCCTTTGGAGTAAACCAAATAGATTACTTAGGCCATGTAATCTCTGAAGAAGGAGTTGCTATGGACCATCAGAAGGTAGAAGCAGTGGTGAACTAGCCTCAACCAACTACTCTAATGAGCTTGAGGGATTTCTTAGGCCTCACCGGGTACTACAGAAGGTTTATAAGGGGGTATGGTATTATTCCAAGGCCCTTACATGATCTGCTGAAACAAGGGAATTTCATCTGGAACTCTGCTAGCTACCACTAAAGCAGTTGAAGACTTGAAAACGGCACTCACTACAGCACCTGTTTTGGCATTACTTGATGTCAACAAGGAATTTATAGTGGAAATTGATGCTTCTGGTTCTGGAATTGGAGCAATGTTAGCTCAAGATAGCAGGCCTATAGCCTTTTTCAGCAAAGGTTTGTCAGAGAAAAACAAGGCACTATCAACCTATGAGAGGGAGCTGCTAGCATTGGTTGCTACAGTTAAAAAATGGAGACCTTACCTACTAGGAAGACACTTTGTAATCAATACTGACCATCACAGCCTCAAGTATCTACTTAAACATAAAATCACACTCCTAGCCAACAAAAATGGTTAATCAAACTATTAGGTTATGATTACACCATATCTAACAAAAGGGTAAGGACAACATTGCAGCTGATGCTCTTTCCAGGAAGGAGGATACAATTGAGCTATTCAGCATTTTTGGTGTCTCTTCTGAACTTTTGGAAGCAGTTAAGCATATCTGGACACAAGATCCAGCACTCCAAAAGCTGATTCAAGGGCTGCAATCTGGTACCTGTTGTAAACCTCACTACTTGTTTCAAGGTGGCATACTTAGCAGGAAAGGGAGAATGCTGCTAGGTGCAGATCCTGAGCTGAGGAAAAGATTATTGTCATTCTATCATGACAGTGCTATGGGAGGACTCTTTGGTATCACAGCTACCTTCAACAGGTTAAAGCAGGATTTCTACTAGAAAAAGATGAAGCGGGATGTGTATCACTATGTAAGGAATGTGATGTATGTCAAAGGTTCAAAGGAGTTTGGCAACCCTTACCCAGGGCTATTGCAACCTTTACCTATTCCTGCAAGAGTTTGGCAAGATATATCTATGAATTTCATAGAAAGATTGCCTAAAGCTGCAGGTAAATAGGTCATTTTTGTAGTGGTAGACAGACTCAGTAAAGCTACTCATTTTATTGTCCTCAAACATCCTTACACAACCTTAGAGGTGGCTCAAATTTTCATGGAGGGAGTATTCAAACATCATGGAATGCCCAGAACTATTATGTCTAATAGGGACAAGGTATTCATAAGCAGATTTTGGCAAGAATTCTTCAAGTCACAAAAAGTCTCACTCCTGACTTCTTCTGCCTACCATCCTCAAACTGAAGTTGTCAATCGATATTTGGAATGCTACTTCAGGTGCATGACCTTTGATAAACCAAAGGAATGGCAACATTGGTTGCCCCTTGCAGAATGGTGGTACAACACCACCTTTCACTCAGCCACCAATATGACCCCATATGAAGCTGTTTATGGTCAGAAACCACCTCCTCTACTTCCTTACCAACCCTTTGATTCCTAGTTGGATGTGATAGATAGGAGCTTATAGGTAAGAGAAGCAACATTAAGGGCTTTAAAAACTCACTTAGAGAAAGCTCAACACATGATAAAAGTGCAAGCAGACAAAGGTAGAACTGATAGGAGTTATGCAGTAGGTGATTGGGTCTTCATCAAGTTACAACCCTACAGACAACTCCCCTAAAGAACCATTCCTACCAGAAATTATCTGCTAAGTTCTTTGGGCCTTTAAAAATCATTTCCAAGGTAGGACAAGTGGCATATACTCTGGCTCTACCACCACACTCAAAGATTCACCCAATGTTCCATGTTTTTCTGCTCAAGAAGAAGTTAGGGGCTCACATTGCTTCTGTGACATTACCTGTGGTCCATTCTGACTCAGGGCATGTCCTACTAGAACCTGAAGCAATATTAGATATATGGCTGGCCAAGAAGCATGGAAAGGCAATAGCACAAGTCCTTATCAAATGGATGAATGATGCACCAGAGGACAATACTTGGGAGGATCTACAGGATTTCAAGCTCAAGTTTCCACTTTTTAATCCTTGAGGACAAGGATTGTCTGAAGGGGTGGGGGGGGGTATTGATACGTATCTGAATGTAATAACTATAATTAGGGAATAATCATAGTTAGTAGTCGAGTTAGTAGTTGAGGTAGTAGTTAAAGTCGTTAGTGAATGTTGTTAGAAAGCACGTGTGAATCATGTGATTTCCAGAAGTTAGTTATAACTAACTAACTACACATCACATGGATTCATCTATATAGCTCACAAAATCCCTTCTCTGTAATCAGCTATTGTTGTGAAGATCAATAACACTCTCTTGTCGCTATTCTCTCTATTCAACTGAGCTTCATTAAGCTCTTGGAATCACTTTTCAAGAGTAGTTCATCTCGTTACTCTTTATGTGTTCCTTCTTTTTCGATTTCCAGAAATTCTGTTGCGTATCACTTTAAAATACTAACAACAACAACAACGACAACAACCCAGTAAAA